TCGTCTTTGGATCGTTCAGGTGCTGAACACGTCCTTCGAAGTACATGCATGTGACAGGGAGCATACAGGCGCTTCACGCCGACAAGCCAGCACGCCAATATGCCAGCATGCTGATACGCTGGATGCAGTTTCCATAAAAGGAAATACGAGCATGTGCCGGCTGTGGCTGGCACGAGGAGGAAGGCCAGGGTACGCCGATCGGGGCCAGCAAAAAGAGAAATACTGTAGGGTCTTCTAAGCATAGCAAACCAATTTCTCAGCAAGGCGTCAGCTTGAAGGGATCACGCGCAGCGTAGCACGGGCATGAACGAGTTCTGTGGGCACCGACTCTAGAAATCCACATTAAAAGCGTTCTGCTGCGCCAACAAACCTTCAACATGTTCAACTGTCAGTTTGTTTCTTTGAACAGGGCCAGGGCTCCAGGTTTCAAGGGATTGATTCAGAGCCTTCTTAACCAGAGACAAGGATGGATAGCAAGTTTCATTCACACTTGCGCAAGCCTATTGTCTCTTTTGAGGGGTTCCGGAAGCTTCCCTGTCCTGTAAAACTTGCTTTTTGTTCCCTAGCAAGAATAACAGCCCGCCGCACATAGGAACTCCCTGGTCTTTCATTACGAAAGTGGGAGGCTTGGGCGAGAAGTTGCAACCGCCTCCGGTCAATCGTGCAGTGCCACCAAAAAAGGCGGCAAAGTTGTCAGAGTACAGCAACAGGAGATGATAGGCAGACATGCCAGAATGAACTGAGGTAACTACGCAAAGGCATGCAGGTGAATTGAAGGCATGAGGCATCACACGGCTGCACCTTGCCAGGAAAGAAAGCAAGACCCTTCGTCACACCTTTTTGAAATAGTGGACCTGACTTCTACAGGTACCTATGGAAGCGAAGACTTGTTGTCACCTGGTATTAACATGCTTTCCTTGCGAGCCAAGCGCAAGCAACATGAGGTGAGCTTCGAGTTTGTGGATTTAGCATGCTTTGTTTTGCAATTTTTTAGGCAGGTTTTACGGAGTTCAGAGATGGTTTTTTAAGGTCTTGGGCTTCTGAAGATTGATGATAATTCTATCAGAGCTTTCTGGGGTGGATCGGGGTTTTCTGCGGGCTTCCTGTCGTCAGTGCTGGGGTGTATAAGCCGGGCCGCGAGGCCCCTCCCCCCACATACCATGCACACTTCCACACTACCAGCACTAGCTGCGCTGCCCGCCCTTGGCGCAGCCTGGCGACTATACTCGTCGTAGAGATGCATTCAGACGTCAGGCCGACCAAAGGAATGCTCGTTGTGAAACACATGGGCGCCCACATCTGTCAATTCTGTAAAGCTTCATCTTCTTCGAATTGCCCTGTCAGCCCTAAGCTAGTCCTTCTGCGCGACGGACTCCGGGAGGTGGAGTGGGAGATCTCAATATCACACAAAAACTTCTTGCAGCGAAGTCCCATCAACAAAGGTTGAGAAGCTGAGAAAACAACCGGAACTTTGAGGGAGCCCGCATGGATGATCATAGATAATATGAGATGAGCTCCCATCTCTCATCTAGCATCATCTAGCCTCGTGACTGCGCTTCTCCGCTCGCAGCTGCAGTAAGAATTCATGAAGCGCCTGGACAACTGTCAACTAAAGCGCCACTTGCCGAAAGCTTCATCAACCTGCACTACTCACTTCAGCAAGTCTAAGTGGGGGTTTCCGACAATCGCGGATAGACACTGTCCAGCACCTGCCTCTTGCTGGTCGTTGGAGAGGACAGCCAAAGCCTTCCGCCTTTCCTGCAGCAAGCACAGACGAGCAGCCTGAGCACGATATGCGGACCCAAGCATGCAAAATGCATCAGACGCTACTTTCCAGCCTGTCGCGGCATGGCCTGCAGATCTCGCACGCATTGCCTGCTGGGGAAATCCACGGGTCTCTAATTGCAACTGCAATTCTAGGTTAGAAACATAGAGGCCGAAGGTGCGTCCGCAGAGGAGGGCAGAAGCTGACTTTTGCCATGGCACACGTCTGGCAAAGCAAAAGTCGACCAAACCTCATGCTGACCTGTGAGTAGAATCGGCAAAGACAAATTACAGGATGGAGGCCGCGAGTAGATCACCCTCCTGGAAGCCCCAGACCTGCTACAAGTGCATAATTTGTGTAATTTGCATTGACTGATGGACTGATTGATCGATATCGATGGATGGATTAATAAGGCTCTCTTTGGGCCAAAAGATTTTGACTCTGCGCGGCGCTTGGATCTTGAACCACACCGCTGGCTTGCACAAAGAATGAGGCAGCCGACCCCTGGCTTCTTCAGCCTTCACAAAGTTGTCCATGGCCTTACAATGGCCACTTTGGGTAACAGGGTCCTGCCATGTTCTGAAGCTTTGCCCTGGGCCTCATCTGCTGGCAGCCTCTCTGGCTGTGGACCACCTTCGTAATACCACCTGAGCAAGCCCCCACAAACCCTCCCATTTGCACCAGCCCCCATTTTGCCACCCCTATACAAACCTTAAACCCTCAATCCTAAACCCTCCCTTAGCCGGTGGAGGGTTTTTTTTTTCCAAGGTTTGGCTCCGCCGTTTTTTTTCCAAGGTTTGGCTCGACCCCCCCTCTCGTTTCCTCGTAACTGTCATCATTTTTGGACTCT